ATCGTAAAGGTCTCATTTCGTCTGTTTATCGGACCCCAGAGGTCAAGACTCTGTCGACTCGTAAAACTATCGTATAATAGGCTGACGTAAATATTCTTTCTTGCATTTCCTCTTTCTCGTGAAGGGCCATTGTAACCAACAAGCATATTTAAATAAGCAAAGAACGTGACTAATTTTAGGAGAAGACGTAATTGGGGTTTGATGTCGTTCTAGTTCGTTTACGTAATTCCGTGTAATTTTATTACTCTGATAGTTACAATGATATAAAGCTCGATAAAATTATAAGTTCACTTCTTATTTCAGTCGTTTATTGTTAAAGCTTGGATTATTATTCATAAAGACTTATAGAAAACTCTTCATAGGTCCATTCTATAAACAACAACTTTCTTGAAAAGTCTAATAACTCATCGTTGCTGTGAATTTTACAAAACTTCATTTCATGACATAACATTCTTCTTTCATGCTGGACATTATTAACAACAAAGATTTAATGTGTACAGCTGTGAAAAAATCGTTGGGCAAGTGATTAATATTTAATCTTGATATTGAAGTTCAATTTTATTTTAATAAGTCTCATTAACAATGAAGTAGCTTTGACGGGTGGGAGAATTAATGAGACGCAATACATTTATGGATAATTAATATGCTTGGCATTAATCAAAATGTTTCCCTCAATTAGTCTCCTGTTGTTCTGTGGATAATGGATAATATAGATAACAAGCTCCAATAGATGTTTATTATATGTTAGACACTTATACGTACATATATAGTTATACGTATTATAGTTTGCATCATCAAGGTCGTCAATCTTTTCTAATAAGTAAATTAGATTCGGTTCGACTCAAAGTCTTTTGACATTTGACGTGCTTTGTTGTGTCGTATGTTGTGAAATAGGATTTATTTTATTATGGATTCATTGCTTTAAACAAGAAAAAGTTTTCTATTAACTTCAAACAAAATGGTGGACTGTTAATTCTTAGAAGAGTAGCTTTAGAAATTAGTACTTTGTAGATATTAGGCTTCCAAGCGAGTCCCGATGTTCATTTTCGTGGCATTGGAAACTGTAAAGGTTTCTGTGAAGAATGCGAAAAGAATTGGTTGCCAAGATGTGTCAATACAGCTTTTATATCGATGTATGGAACAAAATAAGGCATACTAAATGATATATTATATTATTTGTATAGCTTGTATAACATTTTTGAATAGTTCTCAATTGGTTTTAGTTTCTTTTACTATTTTCAATAATTTTTAATACTTTGCAACAGCTTTTAATGGTTTTAAATACTTCGTAATAGTTTCATATAGTTTTCTATGATCTTTAAGCTGGTTTCGATTGTTTTCAGTTTTTTTTTACATGTTTTTAATACATGTATAACCCTCACACAATGCAAATAATAATATTTGTTTCTTAATATTTAAAATTATTCCTACTATGTTAATCGGTACATTTCAAATAATAAAAATAATGTTTTGAATATTTTATTAATTATTTTTATTTATTTATAAATATTTTTTTTAAGTTAAATTATTACAAATAAGATAGTAAGTACATTTTACACATGTTAAGTAAAAAAATATAGTTTTAGCTAGCGAGATCGGGCAAATATTACACTGTGCATCGATGGAATTTCCTCTGCTTATCGAGTCGCATAAAGCATCCGTAGACTAAGCAACGATTATCTGCGGATTATTTGTCATGCGTGCAGAGTGCAATGGGACCCGCCGACGTAAAGTTGCTTGTCCACCCACGCATAATTTTTCATCGCAGCGGTCGAGCGTCTCCGACGGAAGCGAACGAAGTTACACGCTACTTGAATAGGCGTTAAGATAAATCAGCAATTAACCATGATTCGAGTTAATCGTTGGAAACGAACGCAGCCCGACTTAATTAAATTCGACCCGCGGACGGGCAAAGTGGCCGCCTCGGGGTCGGCTTCTATGGAACACGTCATAGAAAGGGACGGGAAATTAAATTAACGGGAAACCTTTTCCATGAATCCTCCTTTTCGATGCTTTTCTTGGGTTTCTTTCACTCGGCTCTTCTTTTGTATTAATCAGTTTATTATGTATTGGACCGTGGATTTTGTGAATTTATGACAAAGTTGGATAGCTAAAATATGAAATTATGAAGATATTAGAAGGCTTTCACACACGTTCGCTGCTGATCGCTATCTCAAAAATCTTATAAAGTTAAACCTCTTGTACTATAACAACAGGTCAGACTAGTGATGAAGATTTCATACATTTCATTGAAAATGTTGAATACACAAATTTAATATATCTTATTTGATAAATATAAAGTTAATTATGCCCGAAAGCAAACCAAAGGTACAGAAGAATTTATTAGCAATATTGTATGAACAAAAATTGATTCGAACAAAACTAGTAGTGTAAAAGATGCTTTTAATTCGCAGGATCTATGAAAATAATTTCCCTTCATTTGTGAGATTCTATCTTTGAGATTGAAGTAAAAATAAAAGGGAAGCGAAGATTATTCACTGGTTGAACACAATTTGCTGCGGTACTATAATTACGGTTCTCCAATAAACGATAACGCGAAGCAGGAAAGGAAATTAAATGAACGGAAAACTTTTTTCATCTCCTAGTAGTTCGTTCTGGAAACCTGTTTATGCTAGTGCGCTTCTGTGCATCGTCGAGCCTTCGGTATCCGCTTCCTGCGGGCAATCGCGAAATGTCCTCGTGCTATTCACAGCCTTCGTCCAGATATCATGCCTCGCCCATTCGTGATCTTGGGGAAGCCTGTTCTTGAAGCAGTTGACAAGTATCCTTAACACGATAACCTTTCGCTGGCTGCGAGGATAACTAAAAGTGGAACGTTAGAGTGACTGCATCGTTGAGCGTCAACGAACTAGCTGCATGCAGACCGCATGTTCCGTTGAACGATACAAACCGACGAAGATAAGATACGTGGTTACTGAATTTGTGATTTCATAGAAAGTTGATTTTAGTTGAGATTGATTAAAACGATACCCGGGAACGTACATAACGTGTTAAATTAATGCTGTTTAATCTAAAAGTGAAATGTAACACTTGTGTCTGCTGGGAGAGCAAGTAGGACATAGTATTAATCAAATTAGACCAGTTAAGAAGTAGACTGTGAATGAGCGTAGAAAATGAACGTATCAAATTATGTTGTGGGAAACAAGGAAAATCTTTGCTGAATTCTGGGAAAACGTGTACATGTTTACGATTTGTAGCAACTGTAATCAAAATATTAGTTCATGCTGTCTTAGTGATAAAGACAACTGTTCAATGCTCTTGTCATGAAGATGTTTGTTTCTGTTAACACAAAAGTGTTTCAACATCCTTTTAATGCTTTGTCGGTTTCCGAATAATGGATTTCGGAAATAGTTGTTTAGTTTAATGCGATAATGACAATGCCTCTATTTGCACAATGTATTAATGATAAAATCTAAAAGTGACACGAACTTTCTTAATTATTTAATAACTGTGCTGTCGATGTGGTCTCTACGTGACATTAATTTTTTGTTCATTATTTCTTTTACTTGATTTTATTCAAATGTGCAAAATCAACATTTTCTGTATCGATCTTAAAAAGAAATAGAATAAATTCCTTTTTTAAATAATTTTAATAAATTGAAAATAATATAATAGCACACTTAAAATATTCTAATGATTTTACTATGTGCTTTACATTTTATTCCTCTATTTTTCTCATAATTGCATAAAATTTGCAATCTGTACACAGCAAATGTTAGTTACGTTTTCGATTCTAAGAATAATTTTTGCAAATTAGTGCAAAATATTGTGTCGCTAATTAAAAAGAAAATGTTCGTCACAATGTTTCCTTACACATGTATATTATACATGTTCTATGAATACAAGATAAAATTCGATTACACAATTGCAAGATAATACAAACTAAACGTACATGACGTTGGTTTTTTATGCTCCAGCATGCAAGAAGGAAATAGCTCGATCTCATACGTCTATAAATAAATACTAAATCTGCATGTCCATTGATACTTTCGTACCCTACTCATCGTATTTACATCGAATCCTCCAGTTGCACAATACAAAATGTCGAGGTAAGATTAACGATATCGAGGTAAAAAATATGACAGGTCTCGGATATTTCATTTTATAATTATTGAAGTTACAAAAATACTTCCATTGGAAATAATAACATTCTGCTGAAATAATTACTGAACGAACATTGGCATAGATGTAGTTGCGGTATAAACCAGAATTGGGCATTGTTCGAATACGATTTTATTCGAAGAATTTACTCGAGATATTTCTTAAATAAAATATTTTTCGAAGAATTTATTCGAAATGTTATTCGAATAATGCACAACTGTGGTGCACCATTTTTATGTTATCATCATAATTTTAGACACTTTTTTCAATAGATCATGGTAGTGCGAGTGTTAAGCGATTGTTTGCAAAATAGCGCCCACAGCTTTTCCAAAGCCGAGCTTTGTACGCTAAACAAAAACGGCACCCTAAGTATCCTATCACGTCGCATTCTAGTGCAATAGCTATTTAATCAATTTAAATGCATTATTAGCTACAATTTCGATGCATGCACATATATTTCATCACGAATCTATTGGATACTTCCGATGGCACGCGCGAATGTGTACATTGACGAAACTCACATCGTTTACTTGAAATCCGTGAAATATTTCTTATGGTATCGAATGTTACCAGCTGAATCAATTGTTTAACAGGCAATATCGCTAACATCGAAGTACCATTTATGGAAACTTATTCGAGTCTTGAAATGACCGAGAGACGAAAAGCCTGCTTCTCACTCTCCAACATACTTTGCTCCGATTCCTCGAACGACAGAAGGTCCGTGTGCATTAGGGTTCCTAGAGTTTTCCATGGAATTCGCGATCTTCCATCCTCACTATCGCCGGGGATCGCGAAATCGTTCGATTTCCGTGGAAAATCGATGTTGTCCCCGCTCGACGTTCGGCTGCCGCGACTGTACGCGTGTTTTCTGTTCGCAGGATGGTATTGGACCCCAAGGTTAAAAGTCTGCATAGCGATTACGGAAGCTTCGATCGACCATTGGACGCCGGAGAGGGCCACGAGAGAGACGTCGAGGCGGCGGTTGATGGAAGTAGCAACGGAATGGCACAGTCGAGTGACGTTTATCAACGGCAGCCATTGTTACCTGGTGCACCGACCAAAGGGAAGGACAAGTGGTCCGGGGTGGCATCCGGCTCGGACTATTACGAGGACGAGGAGGATGAGAAGATCGACAGCCTCGGTCGACATCCTGGGTTGCCTAACGGATCCGGGAATGGCATCGTCAAATTGGATATACCCGCGCCTCTCCGCGAGGAGCCTCGTTTTCCAAAAGAGAAATGGAAAACCTTCCTTGGTAAGCCATTTCCCTTGGACATCGCCGATGAACACTCGGTAGCAGTTATAAATTTAACACTAAACCTACCGAGTAGTCAAATTGACAAGTTTGTGCATTGCTTTGTAAAAAAGTCAGATCAGATTTATTTAGATTTTGTACACTTTTTATAAATTTACCACTAAACCTACTGAGTAGTCAAATTGACAAGTTTGTGCATTGCTTTGTAAAAAAGTCAGATCAGATTTATTTAGATTTTGTACACTTTTTATAAATTTACCACTAAACCTACTGAGTAGTCAAATTGACAAGTTTGTGCATTGCTTTGTAAAAAAGTCAGATCAGATTTATTTAGATTTTGTACACTTTTTATAAATTTACCACTAAACCTACTGAGTAGTCAAATTGACAAGTTTGTGCATTGCTTTGTAAAAAAGTCAGATCAGATTTATTTAGATTTTGTACACTTTTTATAAATTTACCACTAAACCTACTGAGTAGTCAAATTGACAAGTTTGTGCATTGCTTTGTAAAAAAGTCAGATCAGATTTATTTAGATTTTGTACACTTTTTATAAATTTACCACTAAACCTACTGAGTAGTCAAATTGACAAGTTTGTGCATTGCTTTGTAAAAAAGTCAGATCAGATTTATTTAGATTTTGTACACTTTTTATAAATTTACCACTAAACCTACTGAGTAGTCAAATTGACAAGTTTGTGCATTGCTTTGTAAAAAAGTCAGATCAGATTTATTTAGATTTTGTACACTTTTTATAAATTTACCACTAAACCTACTGAGTAGTCAAATTGACAAGTTTGTGCATTGCTTTGTAAAAAAGTCAGATCAGATTTATTTAGATTTTGTACACTTTTTATAAATTTACCACTAAACCTACTGAGTAGTCAAATTGACAAGTTTGTGCATTGCTTTGTAAAAAAGTCAGATCAGATTTATTTAGATTTTGTACACTTTTTATAAATTTACCACTAAACCTACTGAGTAGTCAAATTGACAAGTTTGTGCATTGCTTTGTAAAAAAGTCAGATCAGATTTATTTAGATTTTGTACACTTTTTATAAATTTACCACTAAACCTACTGAGTAGTCAAATTGACAAGTTTGTGCATTGCTTTGTAAAAAAGTCAGATCAGATTTATTTAGATTTTGTACACTTTTTATAAATTTACCACTAAACCTACTGAGTAGTCAAATTGACAAGTTTGTGCATTGCTTTGTAAAAAAGTCAGATCAGATTTATTTAGATTTTGTACACTTTTTATAAATTTACCACTAAACCTACTGAGTAGTCAAATTGACAAGTTTGTGCATTGCTTTGTAAAAAAGTCAGATCAGATTTATTTAGATTTTGTACACTTTTTATAAATTTACCACTAAACCTACTGAGTAGTCAAATTGACAAGTTTGTGCATTGCTTTGTAAAAAAGTCAGATCAGATTTATTTAGATTTTGTACACTTTTTATAAATTTACCACTAAACCTACTGAGTAGTCAAATTGACAAGTTTGTGCATTGCTTTGTAAAAAAGTCAGATCAGATTTATTTAGATTTTGTACACTTTTTATAAATTTACCACTAAACCTACTGAGTAGTCAAATTGACAAGTTTGTGCATTGCTTTGTAAAAAAGTCAGATCAGATTTATTTAGATTTTGTACACTTTTTATAAATTTACCACTAAACCTACTGAGTAGTCAAATTGACAAGTTTGTGCATTGCTTTGTAAAAAAGTCAGATCAGATTTATTTAGATTTTGTACACTTTTTATAAATTTACCACTAAACCTACTGAGTAGTCAAATTGACAAGTTTGTGCATTGCTTTGTAAAAAAGTCAGATCAGATTTATTTAGATTTTGTACACTTTTTATAAATTTACCACTAAACCTACTGAGTAGTCAAATTGACAAGTTTGTGCATTGCTTTGTAAAAAAGTCAGATCAGATTTATTTAGATTTTGTACACTTTTTATAAATTTACCACTAAACCTACTGAGTAGTCAAATTGACAAGTTTGTGCATTGCTTTGTAAAAAAGTCAGATCAGATTTATTTAGATTTTGTACAGTTTTTATTATAATACATAGTTGGCGAGTGTAGAACGTGGGAAGGAAAAGTCTTCGATGAAAACTGAACTGTATAATGTCCCTAACCGAACGAGACAATTTTGTTTGAATTTAGAACAAATTAATATAACATTTATATTTAGTAGATTATTTATGAAATCTTCATCGCGAATCTGACTCGTTACGGTGCAAGGGGTTGAAGAGTACAGGGTTTGTTTATTCTGAAATTTGTTGCTACGTGTTATGAAACGAACTGTATGAAAGGAGAAGGAGAACTTTTCCTGTAATTTAGTCGGCAATGAACTTTTTAGGGCAGTTGCTCGCGCGCAATTCGTTCGCACGACGGGGTGCTGATCGAGATCGAGGTCATTGCGTGGCCTGGTATTTCACCGTGGATCTGTACCAAGCCTGATCCGATGCGGTTGATGCGTTCTCCAATGATGAATCGGACGCGAACGATTCATCAGAACGGGAATACTGGTTTCCCGTTTAACTGGTTGCTTTATCGTTCGTGATCTTTCTTACTACATATAGCCGCGAAATAGCTTCAAACGGAATAAGTATTTTTGATAGCTAGACATTTTTCAATAGGAAACTGACTATTTTCCACGAGACTGGTTTCTTCCAAAATATCGTGTTTGAAAATACAATTTCATCAACTCCAAGTCCATCATTGGTAGTCCGTCTTAAAATAGCGGGACCACTTATCTTTTCTCGTACTTTAACATTAGATATAGTGCAAAATTATTCGGTTCAATTTCTAGTTGTGATGCATTTTATATTTCCACAACATTTAGTGAAGTACAGTAACTTCCATAAATATTCGAATTAATTACTGATAAAAGCTGACCTACAGATAGATTTCCAAAGCTCTTCGTGACTATGGTTAATCAAAATGAAGGAAACTAATCTAAATTATGTATTATGTATATATATATAACTTGTTAAAGTTATACAATTGTCTAAGTTAAATTTTATATATTATCGATTTCTTTCTTTTATTTACTTCTTATATGATTTTCGAGAAGATTATCTCTTCTTGGTCAATTATTTTCTCTCAGTTTAGATATACGCAATTATCTATTTGGTAAACAATACTGTCGAGCACTATATCAATATCGAATTAGATATTCAATTGTTTGTTATTTGTTGTCGATAATTTCGAAATAATAATTACGAATTTAATTTTCCACAACAAAATTCTTTCCTCTCAACCAGCCTTGCGGATTAACATCAAGCATACATCTTCGTATACTGTGCAATATCTGTTTGTTCACATGCATAACGAAAACGCAAAAGCAGTTTCTAACGTTAACGATGTTCTTTACAGTCCGTTTTATGCGAACGAGTAACATGGTCTTCGCTACCGCATTTTTCTTCATTGCCCTACTAATTAATTCATAATGACTTTCTCTAGTTTTGTATAGTATTCCTGTTTTATTGTTCTCCACACAAGTTCTTTACTTCCCGATATCAACATAAAACCGCATGTTACATCATCGTCTCATTTTAAACAATGCATTTGTATCATGTGCATGCCTCGATAGATCGATACTAAACTTGGGATTCTTCACGGATGCGGATCTAACAAAGCAACATAACGAAGTGACATCTGTTGATTTTCATGAAACTTTTCTAGAAAGTTATTTATTAAAAAATATTCGACATAGCTCAGTTATTAGATTCACTTTGTATAATATACCATATAATCGATGCTTATTCGCGTTGGCATAATTATCATTTATTCCTTCTGAGAGAATAATACACGTAATTACTTTTAAAGATCATTTCTTCATTGGCGGTGCTCCATATTACGCGCTGCCCCGTATTACCTCGATCTACTCTACATCTAATTCTTTCTTTCGCATTCGAATACGAAAGCAGTTTTTTTCATTCCGTTCGACCGTGCCTCTCCTTTGTTTTCAAAATTCGGGCTGTACGTAGTTCTGAAAATATACTATTCGCGTGGATGAGGTGCATAATACTTTTCAGTGGAGGGACACGTGCGCGGAGGGAGGTACGTACAGGGCGTGGGATATTCAGTAATTAAAAGCTTTGCCGCGACGGCTGCTACTACTACGGTACATATTCGCGGGAAATGGCGCGGTGCCAAAATTTAGTTCGCAGGCGCATTTTCTTCTTATCAGCCGGAGGGGAAACGCTTTTAAGAGATCGCCCTTAACCTCCTTGCTACGGCGAGTTTCAGATGAAAAGAAGTCTCGACTATTTATAGTTGACAATTTACTACGTCATTGCGGGAATACCAAAGACTTTTCTCTTTTAATTGAAGAATACGGATTTTTTTAGAATTTTTCATTAAAAAAAAATCTGAAACTTTGCACACAATCCTTTCATATTTGTATATCGTATTACTTAAATTGGTTCTGGTACATTTATCTAAGAATATAGTTTGCATCGAACGTGAACTATAACATCTGTCCTCAAGTTTATCTAATATCAAAAATCATAATTAGGAAGCCAATGAGCCAAACTTAGAGAAACAATATCGTCAAATTTAAATGTTCGATTTTACTCGAGAAGTGCCAGAAACTTTTGGAAATTGAAGAAAATATGTGCAACCTATTGTTTGTCTGTAAATGAAATGATAAAAGAACTATGTATGATAAAGAACTATATGCAGAAAAAATTTTAAGCGTATTCTTTGAAGTTTTCAACAACTATATCTATCTGCGCAATGTGCTACTTTTCCCATGAGCTCATAATTAACGTAGAACTTTCGAAATGTAATCTATGTATATGTGTGCCACTATATTGATTGAAGTAAAAGAGAAAATCGATTTTGAAGACTATTTTGTCAAGTTGTCACATTGTTCATTATTTCTTTAAAAAATACTAAGTTCCGTGAATTGCTTTATTATTTAATAGATAAATAATGACATTATTTTGGGGCTAGATTTAGAAATTAATCTTGATTTCCGTATATTCCAATAAACGAATGCTTGTAGATTTTTCGTTTTCATACGACGTTCATTTATCTTGGAACATAGTTTAACTGCTGATGTGTAATGAACGCTCCCGTCATATCAGTCGCGTTATTTGCAGTTATCGATCCTTCTGTTGTCATCCATCGACAAAACATAAGGTAATATGTATATCCTTCTATATACGCAATACACGACTATACAAATATCTTGAAATGAATAAGCTTGTAAACAACGACGACTCATACATACATATGTATTTCTTCAGCAGTAGTGGATCTGTTAAGTGTTTTCTCTTCTGTCTAATGAGAAGATCGTTTTTCTGATAGATGTTCAATTGAAACGGTCCAGCGATTATTCAGTCCTATGAATAGTAAATAATTTTGTCATCCTCGTTGTAAACATTGCGGTGGTATTAAGCTCTTTTTCTTAAAGCATTGAGACCTAAAATTCTGTAAACGCAACATTTTACACGAAACTTTATTTGATCAATTTACACTATTGAATTTTGATGTTGCTTAATATATGTATATATATTTTTGCACTATTTCTTCTTTCGCCCGACCCTAAAGAATTTCTTTGAAATTTATAAACATTAATTCAATTATAAAATAAAATTTAAGAACAGATGTGTGTGTGTGTGTGTGTGTGTGTGTGTGTGTGTGTGTGTGTGTGTGTGTGTGTGTGAATTTTGTCTTGTATCA